CGGCGGACATGCTGTTAGTTAAGTGTGGTTGTTTGAAGTTTTTGTAGTCGCAGAACGGCTCCAAACACACTTTAGCCCGCCGAGGATGGCTGTGCAGCCTTGGTGCCGAAGCCAACGCCTTCACTGGGCGCTTGCTAGGCCACGGCCGTACCCGACTCCAGGAGCGAGGCGAGAGGTTAGCGAGGCTCACGCTGCGAGCTCGGGCGCCTGTAGCCTGAGGGGCCCGGCTGCGCCTTTCCCCCTGCACCGTCACTTGGCTTTCTCGAGCGTGGCCTTCGCCACGGCCCTAAGAGCCGTCACGAGGGGCATTCCCGCGCCCCGCACCAAGGGATGGAGAGTGACAGTAACGTGCAATGACGTGACAAGACGGGAGCAGAATAAAAGAGCTTTGGATTTGAAGTGATTTCTTTTTGTTTTGTTTTGTTTTTCATAAATTATTTATTCTTTTTTTTTTCCTTCTGTAAATATATTTATTTTATTGTGAAGCTAACAACATCTGGATTGTAACATGTACAGAATGTATGGTAGGAATGTATTCTCTTGTAGGAATGTAAATCTGTGTGAAAAGGGGTATGGGAGCCAGATCCAGAGCAAATGAATTGCGTTCCCGTCAGGATATGCATGGGTCATAACGACTTTTTTCCTCCCAGTCTTTTTCTAATGGGGGCGGGGGGGGGAGGTCCTGCTTGTTTGAAATTTGAAGGGAAGGTATGGATGCAGGACAGTTTTCTGTCCAATTTGTCCTAGCCGGGCTCCCAACCCTTCAGCGTCTCGAAGGGGCTCCCGCTGGGCTCGGCTGCGAAGGTGCCACCCGCGGGGAGCCCAGCCGAAGGCCCCGCCGACGGGCAGCCGAGGGAGCTGCAGGTCGGTACCTGTAACCCCCGAAGCCGCAACCGAGCTGACGCCGCCTCCCGCCAGAAGGTAAGGACGGACGAGCCAGGGCCCCGCGCCGCCGACGCTTTGCTTGCTCGAGCTCCGGTTTTCCACCCTGCCGCCTGGGTCTCATGGGCCGGTCCCGGCCCGGGTGGGTCCGGATGCAGCTTTGATCCCTCAACACCACGGGTCCTCGAACAAGAAAGCTTCCTTGAGCGGTATAACGTTCAAACTGAAACCATCCGTCGCGGTCCTTGCAGTCGGCTAGAAAACCAGGACAGTAAAGCCACCGGCTGAAGCAATCACTGTAAGAATAAATTTGGACCTTGTGAAAAGGTAATTTGTTCCCCCACTCAATGCTGTGTGTTAATAGCCTGAATTGCTTAAAAACAATGTTATGAATCCAAAGTTTACACTTACGTCACAATTAAATGGAGTAAATCATAATGGGTCCTGCGTGACAAACGGTTTAATTCACTCCAGCAGATTGTGAACTTTCTGTCGTCGTTACAGGTTTTTTTTTTTCTTCCTTTTGTTAAACCCATCAGGTTTCAGTATCCTGCTTCTGTGCAAGTTGCTTTCAGTGCTTCTGTTAATTAATGAGACTGAACATTTTTAAAGAAATTAGTTCATTTTAAGCACTTTTTCTTTTCCTGAAAGTAAGCCTAATGCCAGTTCTGGAACTTTTTAAAAAAACACAAATTGCAGCTAAAAAAAATCCCCACCTAAACTCCTGTCTAGTTCTGAGCGTAATCCGTACTAGCGCCTGTGAAGGCTGAGCTTCTGGAAAAGGTGTAAATAGTGTGACATGGTCAGTGCATGGTTGTTTGAACAGGGCTTGTTATTGTCGAAAAAAGAAACAAAAAAAAAAGAAAAAGAAAAAAAAAAAGGAGAAAAAAAGAAAAAAAGGCTGTATTTCCCCTTCCCCTTCCCCCCCCACAGACCTTAGAGCTGTGCCTTTTCTATGCAATATTACAGACATATACATCTGAAACCAGATTACTGTATTCACATGTAGGTATGGGCTGTAATCAAAACCAATTGGACAAATGTACATGGAAATGAGCAGTCTTACTTTTGTAGTTTTATATTATACAATAAACGATTAAAATAAGTTCTGGCCTCTTTCTTTCCCTCAATACAAGAGCGGAGCAAGGGGCAGCGGCGGCGGGGGACGAGGGGGCCGCCGGGTGCCCCTC